AATTTTAATATCCTTTAAAGTACCGTCTTTCATAATACTGTTGTACTGTTGGCTGGGAAAGCAGAACAAAACATCTAGAATGACATTTCCAAGTTCTTATTAAACTTTTCACTAAGTTATTATATAAACTTTTCTTCTACTGTGCTGGGAAGTAATATCCGATTCTGTCAGCTCCAAGCTGGCGCATACTGGGATGTCTCATACTCAGCAAGCAGCGCATTTGCACGCAGGAGCACACTACACACCGACAACGTTTCATTTTGTTCAAAGTGTAAAGTGTCTTGAATTCCTTTCCCCCCTCTTGTTTATGTTTAGAATTCCCGAGGTGCAAGGTCATATACACCAACCACCAGAAAACAGGAAGGAAACATTTTAATGAACACAATCTAATCTATAGGATCTTTATCACAGGCATGTCAGACTCGAGCACCAGTGAGAGAGAGAAGTTACGGTATCGGTCCACTTTCTGACCTTAATTTTGGACAACTTTTTCTGGGTGGCGGACGAGTCTCCAGATGGGTCCGACCAGCGGTGAAGCTCCTCCTTGGCCGAGTGGAGCCAGTCTGTGAACTCCTGCACGGCGTCCACATACAGGAGGTGGTCCTTCACCATCTCCTCCGCGCTCCGCATTTTCTCCTAGGAAACAAGCAGAGGCGACTCAGCGGCCCTCACGACAGAGGATGTGAAATCAGACACGACAACAGTCTGATATTGGTCTCTTAATCATCTTGGAAGACTTTGTTCTTATTCTTTTTAAATCCTCATCTGAGGAAAATTTTCCATTGATTTTTAGAGAGAGTAGAAGGGATGGAGGTGGGGGGGGGAGAGACAGAGAGAGAGAGAAAGAGAGAGAGAGAGAGACAGAGAGAGAGAGAGAGAGAGAGAGAGCTTGAGAGAGAGAGAGAGAGGCCAATGTGAGAGAGACACATCGATTGGTTGCCTCCCACACGGGGTTAGAGATTGAGCCTACAACCAAGGTATGTGCCCTTGACTGGGAATCAAACCAGTGATCTTTTGGTGCTCTAACCACTGAGAAAAACCGTCCAGGGCTTCATTCTTATTCTTGAATTTTCTCTGTGTTTAATATCTTAAAATGAAAATATCAAATCTCAATTATACTAAAAGACTTCGAGGATAAAACCAATTTTCCTATAATTTTACTTATGTCTAGCTTCACATAAAAATCTATGCTTAATGAATGTTGACTAACATCCCTCACTAATTATCCACTTAATAATTATTATTATAATAACTCTTATTAAATAAATGACTTGTGTTGGCTTTTTGTAAAGAACTTTTAAACACTGATATTTGAAGCTCAGCAATTTTGCAGAAGAAAAAACCAAAAAAAGAAAGAAAATGGGTTGACTAACATTCTAAGTGACGAAAAATCATAAAATTAAGAATAAAAAATAAGCCCAGGATTGCAGAAAGGAAAAATGCATGGGCATCCATAGGTGAGAAATTATCTTTATATAATATTGTACAAATAGTTTTTAGAGCAGCAAATTCTCCAATAATGTAACCCATAAGCTATTCTTTACCTGACCCTGAAGTTTTTCCTTCAATATAAAGCACTAACCTTGGCAACGGTCATTATATCATTAAACTGTGTTTTCAGCTCCTCTTGAGCCGTCTCCGTGAAAGACGCATCCTCCGTCTTCTGGTAGAGCTCCCTGGACCTGGCAGTGAGGCGGTGCAGGGCTGCGGCGTGATCCTCGCCCTCTGAGACGATGCACTGGAAGTGGTCCAGAAGGCAAAACTTCTCTTTCAGACCTGGCTGCGGTTTCAAGGGATGCTCCACTTTTTGGTCTACGGATTCCATCCACTGCTCCAACTGGTTTTTCCATTCCAGGTAGTCATTCCATTGGCTAATCACAGCCTCTAAAGTGCTGGGATTAATGTTAGTAGAAAAATAAGTTATCTTGACAGCTCTACTGGAAACCAACTAGGAGAGCATGGCATCCAGGTAAGCCAAGCATGTCAAACTCAAAGGCTAACACAGGCCAAATAAACGAGGCATGTGGCCCGCGGGCTGCGAGTTTGACATGCTTGATGCAAGCTGTCTTACTGAACGCCACTATAAGTGGTGAGGGCGCTGCGTCTAAGGGCAGGGAGAAACACTACTTTTCTGACCCGCAGCACAGTTTCTTCAAACCAAAGTGAATCCATGTCAAAATGTAAGTAAGATGTTGTAGTCATATATGCATCTGGAGATTTGTCTTCCAAATAATAATTGTCTTAATAAATAGGCAAATTTATGAGTTGTGTTGTTAAATATCAGCACTGGGGCATCAATTCAATTTTATTTTATTTTATTTTTAAAATATTTATTTATTTCAGAGAGGAAGGGAGAAGGAGAGAGAGATAGAAACATCAATGATGAGAGAGAATCATTGATCGGCTGCCTCCTGCACACCCCCTACTGGGGATCGAGCCTGCAACCCAGGCATGTGCCCTTCGCCAGAATCGAACCTGGGACCCTTCAGTCCCCAGGCTGATGCTCTATCCACTGAGCCAAGCTGGCTAGGGCTCAATTTTATTTTTATTTTATTGATTTCAAAGAGGAAGGGAAAAGGAGAGAGAGATAGAAACATCAATGATAAGAGAGAATCATTGATTGGCTGCCTCCTGCATGCCCCCTACTGGGGATTGAGCCCACAACCCGGGCATGTGCTCCGACCAGGAATTGAACCATGAATTTTTGGTTCATAGGTCAATGCTCAACCACTGAGCCACGCTGGCTGAGCAAATTTTATTTAATATATATCAATTCTTACTTTTCTTGGACTCAGTTTATTTTATTAAAACCAGATGGCAATTATTTATTGATTGGAATTTAAATTTTAGGGTAATCTTCCTGGTTAAATAATATCATTAGATTGATTTTCACATACGGACATAGATGCACAATGTTTTAGTGTTGAATGGATGAAGAAATGAAGGCTAAATACATTTATAATATAAGAAATGTAATCACAAATGTAATAGTCAACCAAATAGCTCCTCAGATAGTCAAGTAAAAGGCTCTCCAGGCTGGCATCCTGAATTTTAAAGTATTCAGCTCTAAAACTATTCTAAACTCATCTTCAGTGACCTCTCCCAATCTCCCTTGCATAAAATCTTATAATCCTGGAGTCATATCTGTAGGAAATGTACTTGCAGCATTTGCTTAAACTGTTTCTTTCTTTTTAAAAAATGGTTTTATTGATTTTAGAGAGAGGAAGGGAAGGGAGAGGGGAGAAACATTGATGTGAAAGAGAAACATGGATTGGCTGCCTCCTGCACACCTCCTACTGGGGATTGAGCCTGCAACCTGGTCATGTGACCTGACTGGGAATAGAACCAGTGACCTTTCGGTGCATGGGATGACGCCCAACCAACTAAGCCACACCAACCAGGGCTCAAATTGTTTATTTTTCATCAGTAGGAACCTCATCATACATGCCAACATTCTTATCCTTTCCAACTGTTTCCAAATCAATCTCACCTCCCCAGAAGCCACCCTGGGCCCTGCCTTCTTCTACAGTCTCACAACATCTAAGCAACACTACATGAGTCAGAGTTTTCTGGAATGTACCCTGCCCTGGCCTCATAGCACGTAGAGGGTAAAAAGTACTTTGTTTTGTTTTATTCTTTTAGCACAGAAAAAAATAACCACAAAACAAAATAAACTCTGTAGTTACCCACTCTCATTTGAACATTGCTATTGCTCAATATGTAGTTGTCAAATTTAATTTCTTGCTAAAAGCAAAGAATCAAAGATTAGAATCTACTTTTTGTATTTCACATTTTATTCTAACATCTGAAAAATATTCACCCTTATTCCTGTTCACTTTTACAAAGCTAGCTTATTGGCAAGCATTGGGAAGTTTGATCTACTATATAAAAAATAGAATCCTGGGATCTGAAGTTTTTTTCTTTACTGACCAGTTTGAGCTATTACTAAGATTCAAAATTCTGCAGACTTTGGGAGTTACTACAAATGTTCCATATTAAAGAAAAAAACAAACTAAAACAAAACACAACCTCCCACATTTTAATTGAAACCATGGTCCACTTTTACATTGCACGGGGTGATGGCAAATATTTTTATTTTGTTTTATGAATTTTAATCTTTTACTTGTCTATTTATTTTGATCATAGTGAACACACACTTCTTTGGTGATCTAATAGTATATATCGCTGTCAGAATATGGCTCCTGGAATGTATTTTAATATAATTCTGACTGATAATCATTTGTCCAACAAGCCAGCCAGATTACTTGTGGGTACTTTGAGGGAAGGAGGAAGGTGAAAATCTTCCACTCATAAATACAACAGCAACAACATCACCTATTGTAACGACCAGCATCTTCTCTACTTTCTCAGCAGCCCCTGGGCAGTGCTACTCAACAGAGCTCCGCAGGCATCCTGGGCGGAAGGGTTGACTGTTGCTTGTGTGAGAATGCCCCACGCATTGGAGGGCACCAGCTCTCCTGGGCTCAGTCACTACATGCCAGGGATGCTCCATCCCTGTGACCATCAAACACCCCCCCGCCTCATAGTTCCACAACCCCAATGTGGGGTTATTACTTGGGGTTGAGAAAAGATTTATACTTAAGCTCCACTGTTGCCCATGACTTAATTTCCCTTATGTTTCTTTAAAAAGTGAAAATATATTAAAGTTACTCAAGACCACATATCCTTGCTTTGATGAATTAAAAGGATCTATTTTACTGAGTTCAAGTTGTGTGCCAAATTCCATTGACATATTATGGGAGATGTAAATATTACACACACATACACACACAGCAAGCAAACAAATAAAAGTAGTCTTTGCCATTAGAGAAAATACAGTTTAGGCGAAGACAGGCAAGCATACAACTAGCTAAGATCACATGTGTGGTCACTCTACTGCAGGAGGCGTGGCACCGCTCCCTCATTTCACTAAGCCACTGGGCTTTGTTAGGCGATTAAGCACTTGCACTGGACTCTGTACCTCTGAGCGTGGACGGAGGAGCTCATGACGTTGGCCCACACGTCTGTAAGGGTCTGTAGCTGGGTCTGGATCACCTTCTGACCTTCTTTGTTGCTACTTCTCAAGGCCTGTTCCCCTTTGCCAATGGCCATATTCAGCTTGACTTCCCCTTCCCCTTTCATCAGGAGGATGTCCTAGTAAGAAGAGGGAATGCACGTCAGCAGAAATAGTAAAGGCTTCTGATAGTTTTAAAAACAATCAAGGTAGGGAATACCTTATTCACCTTAAAGAGAAAAGGGGACATATGTAATGCTTTCAACAATAAAGATTTAAAAACAGAGAAAAGAAAAGGCAATGAACAAAATAAACTGATGAACAAAACAGGACCAGGGGCATGGATACCTGGAACAGACTGACAGTTCTCAGAGGGGAAGGGGAAGGCGGGGGTGGGGGGGGGAGGGGGACTAGAAGCGATTAATTAAAAAACATATATTCTTATATGCATAACCCATGGACACAGACAATGATGTGGTGAAGGCGGGGGTGGGGGCTGGATGGAAGGGAGCAAAAGAGGGGAAAATGGGGGACATCTGTAACAGTGTTAACAATAAATAAAAAATGAAAACAAAAACAACAACAATGTCTGGACTCTACCGCAATATAAAACTTTAATTAAATATTAGCAACCCGAGAATCTGGGAGTCAAGATTAACTCCAGTTTAAATTCTTGGAAAACTTTGGACTACTTGCCTACGCATTGTAACTTTACTGGGAAACTTAGTTTCAGAGTAAAAAGCAATTATTTCGAAAATGAAAACACGCTTGTTAAAAGCCTAACAGTCCCCTACCTTCAAAGCCTGACTAATGCCTGTCTTTCAAGGTCACCTTCGCTGGCTGCAGGCTGGGCGGTGGTCTCCTTTGCGCTTTCCCCACCCCCGCTGGCTTCAATCACGGCCCCACATGCATGTTGCACGGCCTGTAGCATTTGCAGTTGGTCCCTGCCACTGACTTGAACTCCTGCAGGACCCATTTTTATCTTCACATGCCCAGCAACTTGCATAGTGCTTGGAGGAAACTAGGTATTTATTTCATAATGTTTGCTGAATATTTACTAAACAAAATTTAAAAAATATATATTTTAGAGCTATTAAAACAAACATATTCCTTCCCTTTACAAAGAGGGAAAACCATCCCCTCCGAGTCCTTTTTGCCCAATTTCCCCGTTTTGCTCACCTAATCCTCATTTAGAGAATGGCTCACGGCGTGATTGGGACCCAACTCAACCATTTGTGAGTCTAATCGCATCAGTCCTGGGGCACAGGGGTGTACCTGTATCTGTAACAGCCGTTTTTCCAGGGTGTCCTTGCTTCCCACGGTGCTGTCTGCGCAGGCCAGCTTGTCCTGCACGCCCTTCACCCAGGCCCACATGCTCTGCAGGGCCTCCTCCAGGGCCTCATGCTCCTGCAGGGCCGCCTGGCAGCGGCGCAGCTTCTCCTTGGTCATCCTGACCAGGCCCTGGTAGCTGGTGAGCAGCTGGGAGCACAGGCGCCCTTCCTTCCCGGCGCCGTGGCCTTCCTCGCTGAGCAGCTGCCCGCGCTGCGAGAGCTTGTCCAGAGACTCTCTGAAGACAACAGAAAACAACATCAGCTGGACTCTCCCAGCGCCGGCGAGTCACAGAGGATTGTTGATGTTGGAGCACTCAACAGACAAGAGCTCACAGCTGACACGCCTTTAAACGAAGAGCCTTGCCAGGCTGACCTATGAGGGTGGGGAGGGTGGTTGAGCATCAACCAATGAACCAGGCGGTCACGGTTTGATTCCCCGTCAGTGCACAGGCCCGGGTTGTGGGCTTGATCCCCAGTAGGGGGTGTGCAGGAGGCAGCCGATCAATGATTCTGTCTCTTCACTGATGTCTCTCTCTCTCTCCCTTTCTCTTCCTCTCTGAAATCAATAAAAATATATTTAAAAAAATAAAGTAAAATGAAGAGTCTGGAGACTGCCCTGGCCACCTGCTTCTATGGTTTCTCCAAAGGTAGTTAATACACATCCGGGGACCTGACTGCCCATGCAGTACCTAGATCCAAGCCCAGTGTATGCCGAGGAATTCACTTCAGAAAAGGCCTGGCCTGCCCCTCCAGGCCACCCGGCATCTCTCCCCTCCTACCGAATGCTCTAACCCTGAGCAGCTTGTCGAAACGCCCCCAACCCTCTGCTATACATACATGGAGGCTCCTCTGTGAGAACCCTTCTGCTCTCCTCTGCTCCTGGTCTACCTGTCCCTTTCACAGCTCAGGGCAGGCATTGCATCCCTGGGAAGCATCATGATAACTGAGGACAGGGTGGGGAGTGTGGAGAGAGTGGAGAGGGTGGGGAGTATGGAGAGAGTGGAGAGGGTGGAGAGAGTGGAGAGGGTGGAGAGGGTGAGGAGGGCAGGTCTCCTCCTCTGGGCACCTTCTGCAGCCTCCTACACACCCTGTGTGTCTCAATCCACAGGCTTTCCTTCTAGAAGCCAGGGCTATTACAATCATCTCATGTCCCAGCACCAGTGCAATGTTTGGCAGAGATAAAATGAAAAAAAAAAGAAGAAGAAAAAAAAGGCAATGATTCTTTCAAAAGGCCATTTTACGAGTGCTTAATGGTGTCATTCTTGTATCTCAGGTGCCCTGCTCATCTCAGCTTGGAGTTATGTAAATTAGCTCCAGGGAAAGTGTAACCACCTGTGGCTGGGTAGGCTTCATCCTGTTTGACAGGTTCTGAATTCAGATCAGCACTGTTCTCAGGAGATGCCTGGGAAACCAGGAGGGGGAGAGCAGTTGTCTGAACACAAACTATTGCGAGTAGTGGAAAAATGTTTCTCCTATGATGCCTCTTTTATTTTACTTAGCAGCTATTATGTAAATAGCATCCTTATGGGTCTCTGTGAGATATATGTGACTTATACAATATTATATCTACTCTAAAGTACATATTTTTATTCTGGTAATCTGTTTGATGAGACAAGAAGGTAGTGTAAGCATTGATGTGAGTTAAATAATAATTCAAGAGAATAGATACCACTTGTTATTTCAAGAAGAATTGGTAAATGGATGATAAAAATTCAATGAGTCTCAAGTTTAGGGTACTTTAAAAAAATGGAGGGCATCCCTCCAAAATGTGTGTACTAGAAATATTATGATTAAAAACAACCACAACAGAGGAATAAATGACAAGCAGGTGAGAGGAGTCAGGTGACCCAGCTAAGCACCTGTGTGACCCTCACTGGGAGTGTACAGAGTAGCCAGTTAGAAGGAAACTGGGAACCAATATACTAAGGACTCTTAGCTCTGATCATGGAATATCAGATCAAGAACAATATGGAAGGAGGAGAGAAGTAGGTTATGTTCTATTGTATCTAGACAAGAGTCAAGATTTTAAAGCACAAAAAGTGCACTGTAACTTGCAGAAAGTTATATATGTAGAATGATACTATTATTCTGTTAATTCGGCAATATATTCTACTAGAGGCCTGGTGCACGAATTCGTGCACCAGTGGGTCCCTCGGCCTGGCCTGTGGGATGGGGCTGAAACCAGCTCTCTGACATCCCCCGAGAAGTCCCGGATTGCAAAAGGATGCAGGCAAGGCCGAGGGACCCCACCTATGGCTGATTGTGGCAGGGGAGGGACATGGGAGGTTGGCCAGCCAGGGTGGGACCGTGGGAAGTCTCCAGGGCATGTCTGGCCTCTCTCGCTCAGTCCCAACCAGCTAGACTCCAGCAGTAAGCTAACCTACTGGTTGGAGCATCTGCCCCCTGGTGGTCAGTGCATATCATAGTGACTGGTCGACAGGTCGACTGTCTGCCCCCTGGTGGTCAGTGCATGTCATAGTGAGCAGTTGAACAGCCTGAGCATATCATTAGCATATTACTCTTTGATTGGGTGAATGGCCGACCGGACAACCAGGCACTTAGCATATTAGGCTTTTGTTATATAGGATTTCTGACATTATATTAGACTATGGCAATCTATAGATGATAAAGACCTGATGGTCCCTGGCCTTGAGGAACTCACTGTAGAGGACTGGAGTACACAGAGTCAACAAAGTGTTTATTCCTTGTAACTGCTAAGAGGTGGGGCCAGAGCATCCCAGGGAAATTTTAGAATAGCCATCAAACTAGCACACCAGCAGTAGTTGTTAGTATGGGTGCTATTGTGCACTTGTTTGCATGTTTGTTTTTCAAGACTAGAAACACTCAGCATGTCTGACCAAAAAGAGGACTCGGTGGAAACAGGGAATGGGTCTAATCCAGTGGTTCTCAACCTTCCTAATTCCGCGGCCCTTTAATACAGCTCCTCATGTTGTGGTGACCCCCCAACCATAAAATTATTTTTATTGCTACTTCATATCTATAATTTTGCTACTGTTATGAATTGTAATGTAAATATCTGATATGCAGGATGTATTTTTATTGTTACAAATAGAACATAATTAAAGCATAGTGATTAATCGCAAAAACAATATGTAATTATATATGTGTTTTCCGATGATCTTAGATGACCCCTGTGAAAGGGTCATTCGACCCCCAAAGGGGTCGCAACCCACAGGTTGAGAACCGCTGGTCTAATCTGAATTAGGCAGTTTTCACTTAGTTGATCACTGCTGCTAATTTGTCTGATGAAGCAGGCTGGTGCTAGCCTCTATTGCTTTACAGATGATTGTATCTACTCTTTAAGAGGGTAGCTAAAGAATTTTGGGTCAAATTGCACGTCCCTTTCCAAAGGTAGAATTTCAATGAAGCAACTGAAAATGCCAGGAGTGAAGCATGGTTCAACATCCTGAAAGTCAGGCCAGAGAACCTAGCCTGGGAAAGGAGCCAGAATCATTTGGTCAGTTAGAAAGCAATGCAGAGGCAAATGCTGTAATGGAGAAGGGGAGCCTCCAAGACAGCCGGACTTAATGACCACCCCTCTTGTTTTACAAAGAATTTTGTGAGGAATAGGTAATAATTGTTCCTTGTAAGTTTATTTGGGAATAGAAGAAATCTTAGCATGTTGTAGAGTCATGCTCCATCCAATGAACACAATTGGTGATTTGAGGCTCTTCAGCGCTTCATATGATCAGGTTGGTTGTGTGTGATGGATACAAGAGGAAAACATACTGGGAATGTATTGTCCAGATTCTTAACAGTTCAAATGAAGAACATTCAACTCAAACTGACTTATGGAGAAATAGGACTTTATTATATTTCACATTATTGGAAATGCCAGCCTCAGGCATGGCTGGATCCAGATG